CATCCTGGCCAACATGGTGAAACCCCATCTCTACTAAAAACACAAAAATTAGCTGGGCATGGTGGCACGTGCCTGTAGTCCCAGCTACTCAGGAGGCTGGGGCAGAAGAATCGCTTGAATCCAGGAGGTGGAGGTTGCAGTGAGCTGAGATCGCACCACTGCACTCCAGCCTGGTGGTAACCTAGCAAAACTCTGTCTTAATTAAAAAAAAAAAAATATATATATATATATATATATATACACACACACACACATATACACACACACACACACATATATATACACACATATATTTTTTACACATATATGTATATATAAAAAACACGAAGGCAGGTTTAGAATGACTTACAGATATGGGCTTCTGCGCTCCAGCTGGTGGTCTCCATTCATTTCTATGCAATATAGCATTCCTTTTAATTGGCACAGATATCCTAGATCTTGGTGGGCACTTTCACTGGAATCTCACTTTTTGTATTTTGCACTCTTAATTAACCAAAATAAAATGGCTTCAATTTTTTTTAAATTGTACACCTTTAATACTGATACTTGTAAGAGTATAAACATAAGCTACATTTCAGCAAGTTTACTTTTTAGCCAGAGATATTTTACAGACAGAGAAGCACAGCTGAAAAATATGCATTTTCTTTAAAAGGAGAAAACCATTTTTTCAGAGTCCCTTTGCATACTTCAAGTAATACATGACATCACTTTTTTTTTTCAGAAAAATAGAAATTAATGTTAGCATTTACAGAAACAACATGTATGGGGTAATAGTAAAAGTTATTAAATTTGGGCATCAGAGCTTGGATTATCAGGCCACTCCATTCATGCCACATTGTTTGGAATTTATGAGTAGATCTGTCTCTCTCTCTCTTTTTGTTGTTGTTGAGACAGTCTCACTCTGTCACCCAGGCTACAGTGCAGTGGCAGCGTCTCAGCTCACAACAACCTTCACCTCCCAAGTTCATGCCATTCTCATGCCTCAGCCACCTGAGTGGCTGGGATGACAGACATGTGCCACCACATGCAGCTAATTTCTGTATTTTCAGTAGACATGTGGTTTGGCCATGTTGGCCAGACTGGCATCAAACTCCTGGCCTCTAGTGATCTACCCTCGTTGGCCTCCCAAACTGCTGGGATTAAGGTATGAGTAGATTTTCTAATGTTTCTCTTTATCTCCAACAAAATTTGTTCTTGGGCTGGGCAAGGTGGCTCACACCTGTAATCCCAGCAATTTGGGAGGCCAAGGTGGAAGGACTGTTTGAACTCAAGAGTTCGAGGCCAGCCTGGGCAACACAGCGAGACCCGATCTCAATAAAAAAATAATTGTTCTTGTTCTCCTATCTTACCTATACTAGAAACATGGACAATACACTGTCCCATATTCTCTACTTATGTATTTTCTGAACATTCTCAATCTAGACTGATATACAACATCAGTCAAATTAAATGGTAAAGAAGCTCATTCATTTTCTCTTTAACTTTCCTCGATTTTAGCACCTCTATCACAATGGATAACATTTCCCTATCACGGATTTCTTTGAGAGGTTTTCTGCTCCTCCTGATATTGTAAGTCTAGACATTCAGTTGTGGCTAAATCCTGGGGCTTTGACTTTCACAGCTTCAAGTGAATTATTAATTTTCTCTTCCTTAATGCACCCCTCCCGTGACACAGAGCACTTCATCACTTTCACATAGTAACAGTTCCGATTAGACACCAAGATCCTAACTTCAGCTCCAGTGGTCCTTTGCAACAGAATTCTTAATTGCCGGTCTATCCTATTTTAGAAAAATAAGTTTCATCTCATCATCTGTGTCTATCTGTAACCTTCTCCCACTCTATCCCTTCCCTATACAAAAGTTAAGTTTGGGTTCAACCTCTTCAAGCATCTCTCTCAGCATGTCCTCTGCTTCATGAAGGTTTCCTGACTAATGAGAAGGAAGGTGCTAATGTATGAGCTAGATATACAACTTTCAGGCACACTCACTAGTTGCCATTTGACAAGATGATTTTTCTCCTGCTTATACTGCTTGTATTTTTCGAATGTCCACTTTCCATATGTTTGGCGACATGTCCTTGCATTACTCTCTGCATGACACATGTGTGATAGATGCTTTTGATTGCACAGCTAAGTCACACTTACTCTGGACCACCTTCCCAGGATGTCGAGAAGCTGGCGCTCCTGCTTTGCATGTAAGCATGTGATTGAATTCTTCCTGAATGACCTAAAACTAAACACATGTGTCAAGGACCTACAAACCAAAATCTCTGCCAAAATTCAAACAGCCACCTCAAAACTCACCTGAGGAGTCAAATATCTGGGAATAAGATTCTCTAAAAAGGGCCTTTTCAAAATGGAATTTATGGAGGGTCAATCTCGAGGAGATATTTTAAAGAGCTGAGATATCAAGGAATGCAGGTTATGAGAAAACCTTGAAGATACTGGAGCAAAATGTGCTTGACAAATCTTGAGAACCAGCTGCTGTTAAGTTGCTACCCTCAAACTGAAAAGAAAAGGAGAAATGATACTAAATCAGAGAAAACTTACTAAAGTAACAAATCTTAAAAGTGTTAAAGTAACAAATATACCAAGAAGCAAAACAATGTTTTTAAATTGCAGAAACACTAAGCTCCTGGGTAATTCCAGTATTTTGGGAGGCTGAGGCAGGAGGATCACTTGAGCCCAGGAGTTCAAGACCAGCCTGAGAAACACAGTTAGATCTCATCTCTCCAAATCATGATTTTTAAAAATTTGCTGGGTATGGTGGTATAAGCCTGTGGTCCCAGCTACTTGGGAGGCTGAGGCAGGAGGATTATCTGAGCCCAGGAGGTCAAAGCTTCAGTGAGCCATGATCACACCATTGCACTCCAGCCTGGGTGACAGAGTGAGGCCCTGTGTCAATAAAAAAACAAACCAAAAAAAAAGAACCACTATGGTCCACCCTAAATTGTTTTCATCAACTAATCTTCCATGAGCAGATACTGCAGTTACTCAATGGGATGCCATGTTACTTAAAACAAGTTCTTTTTTTTGTTTGTTTAATTTTGTCTTATTATCAAAATAATGTTACTCATAACAAAAACTGGAAGGTATAGGAAGTTCTAAAGTCATGGGAAAATATGTGTAATTTTACCACTCAGAAGTGTAGCTCCTTCTTATCTTTTTCAAAAATGATTTTTATTTTACAAACTTAAGGTCATACTGATATGAAATTTTATCTCTTGCTATTTAAAATTAGCATAAACATTTTTCATTTCCTCTAACATGCTTCATAAACCAGAGAATCTTCTATTGTATATACCCAATAGTTATTTATACATAATAATATTCAACAGCATGGTGTAGCAATAAAGGTACACGTTGGCCAGGCACAGTGGCTCATGCTTATAATCCCAGTATTTGGGAGGCAGAGGCAGGTGGATCACCTGAGGTCAGGAGTTTAAGACCAGCCTGGCCAACATGGCCAAAACCCATCTCTACTAAAAATACAAAAAAATTAGCCGAGCATGGTGGTGGGTACCTGCATAATCCCAGCTACTCAGGAGGCTGAGGCAGGAGAATTGCTTGAACCCAGGAGTCAGAAGTTGCAGTGAGCTGAGATCAGGCTGCTGCACTCGTCTGGGCAACAGAGTAGGACTCTGTCTCAAAAAAAAAAAAAAAAGAGGTACACGTTTTGGTCAGACACTGGCTGTGCAACCCTTGACAATAATTAATAAGAACAATAATAATGACAGTTGTGGAGACCCATTTAGATTAAGTAATCATACTGAGGCTCCACAAGAAGGTCTTCAGGACTCAAACCTTAGTTATAGATTAAAAGGAGTTACTCACTTATGTCCTTAAATGAATGCACTCTTATATGTAGAAATATAGCTTAAAAGGTGTATAAGCTCAGAAAAACTTTGCAATTTTGAGTTGGTCTGGTGATAATTTCCAAACCTCCCTATAACTGGTTACAGAAATAAAAACTCACTTCCTTCCTACTTCATCTGCATCTCATTATTGGGACACAAGAAATAGCAGCCCAACCCTCAGTTTGGTCCAGGAACAATTTCACACATGAAGAAAATGAAATTACAAAAGTACCATAAGAAAGAGAGAAGAGATTTGAATTTTAGTTTCTGGAATCTTCATGCAGTGTCATCCATCAGATTTTACTGACACTTTTAAACTGAGAGTCAGCAACTTACGTTTTATTGTTGTAGGGCTTATTCTGACAGATCTCTGGGGACAGGTAGTAAGCTGTTCCAACAGAAGTTCGAGCAAGTTCCATGGAACTAGTAAATTATATTAAATAATTAGCATTGTTTTTTTAGTGGAGATGAAGTCTTTTTTTTTTTTTTTTTTTTTTTTTTTTTGAGACGGAGTTTCGCTCTTGTTACCCAGGCTGGAGTGCAATGGCGCGATCTCGGCTCACCGCAACCTCCGCCTCCTGGGTTCAGGCAATTCTCCTGCCTCAGCCTCCTGAGTAGCTGGGATTACAGGCACGCGCCACCATGCCCAGCTAATTTTTTGTAGCTTTAGTAGAGACAGGGTTTCACCATGTTGACCAGGATGGTCTCGATCTCTTGACCTCGTGATCCACCCGCCTCGGCCTCCCAAAGTGCTGGGATTACAGGCGTGAGCCACCGCGCCCGGCCTGAGATGAAGTCTTAAGAGAAGTCTTAAGACATGGACATGCAAGAAGAATGCGAAAATGGATAACACAAGATTTGATGCATACAAATGTTAGAAGGAAGAAAAACACTGTATATTGACAAAGTAACAAAATCAGTTGATTTTTAAAATTACAATTCACCTCCCAAAAAATTACACATTAAAACATATTTTTATGGCTTAAAGACTCCACAAAGAGATGAAATTGTCATGCTATAAAAATCTCTCAGATGTAAGAGATTAACTAATTGCAACCTCATGATTTAAAATTTAGAAAATACAAAAATGAATAATGGAAAAAAAGTTACCCAGAATCTTAGCACCCAAAACAACTATTGTTAAAATTCAGATATACTTCCTTCCTGTCTTTTTTTCCACCAATATTTTTTATATAACTGTGATCACAATGTATTTAAAATTCAGAATTCCATTTTCTTTACTTAGTATAACAAAGTTATCAAGAAGTCTTCAAAACCATAAGTTTTTTATGATATATTCAAGGTACATGGCCATGCCAAGTTTTATTAAATTTAACCATTTTCCAATTATTTAGGCATTTACGTTATTCCAAATTTCAAACTATTCCCTTGGAACAAATTCCCAGAAATAGAACATTTAAAAATCTCTTAATATATATTGCCACCAAATTGTCTTCCCAACAGGTGCACCAATTTATTGGCTAGAAAGTGTGTAAATCAAAAATAAAATTCTAAGCTCCCCAAACAACTCATGGACCCTTTGGCCAAGGACATTTCAAAGTTAACCTGAAAAACTAGTTCAGGCCATGATGGAAAGCAGGGTCGGACATGCCTCATTATTTTCTCCTCCCTTTTGGAATTCAGGCACAGTTGACCAGCATTAACATTAAACAGACCTTAAGACTGACAAAGCAGACTCTTTGTAGCAATAAGATACCAAAGTCCAGCCTGACCCTAGCATAACATCACATGACAGATAGAAGGCCTGAAAGAAATTAAAATATTTTACTCCACATCATGTTTCTTTGCCCATATCTTGAAATAGTCCTGCAAAGCTTCCTCTTACAGGGAAAATCTACATTCTGAAGAAAATCCCCTTCTTTTCCAAGTCTTTTTCATGATCCAGGAGAAAATTAACTAAGAGTCTGGCACCTTTTTAAGACTGATAAGAAACATTTACAATCTATTCTCTCTGAGGCATGCTACTTGGAGATTTCATCTGCATAACAAAAACCTTGGTTTCCACAACCCCTTATCTTAACCCACACACTTCCTTCCATTGATTTCAGGTCTCTAGATAAGCTCTTTCAACCAACTGTAAATCAGAATAGTTTTTAATCCATCTATGACCTGGAAGCTCGCTCCCATTCCTCCCAGCTTTGAGTTGTCCTGCCTTTCTGGACCAAACCCATGTACATCTTATTGATGTCTTGTGTCTCCCTAAAATGTACAAAACCAAGCTGTAGCCCAGCCACCTTGGGCACATGTTCTCAGGCATGGGCCTTTGGTCACTCGTATTTGGCTCAGAATAAATTTCAAATATTTTACAGAGTTTGATTTTTTTCATTAAGAAGTGTAAACCTGCCTGTTTGACTAAATTCTCACTAGCTTTATGCGTATTAGTCACATCCCATAGTTGATAAACTGGAATCACACTACAGAATATTAGCAACATCATTCTATTATGCCACAATTTATCTTGAGAATTTTAATCTCAAAGTACCAACTGACTGATTTAATGCACTGCCATAAAGCTACCTAAAATTATTTGGACAACCAAGATTTTAATATATTCTTAATCCATGATACCTAAAAATACATACTTGGGCTATTTTGAATAGAAAAAAAAATTATTTTCAAAGTACTTACTTATTCAGGACTCTTGCTATACCAAAGTCCCCAAGCTTTGCAACCATTCCATTCTTGCTAAGAAAAATGTTCTATAAATGGAGAAAATGTCATGTTGTTTGAGGCACTTCAAGAAAAGATCAGAGTTCTCTCTTAGTCTTCTCTCAGAGCTGTTACCTGAGTTTTTATGTCCATGTCCCTGTGTAATATCTTCCTGTCATGAATATGTTTTAGTCCTAGAGAAATCTGTACAAACCAACTGAGGATCTATAGAGAGAACACAAAACAAAGCCACTGAATAGCCTGGTAGTCACTAAAGTGTCTTCATGATAACATGCAAAAAGAACGAAAGAAGTTATACACATACACATACACATACACACATAGTGTATCTGTATTTATAGGAATGAAGTTAATAGATACACTTTATAATATTACTATTTTCATTTTACAACCAGAAAAATGAAGGCACAGAAAATAATCCAAATATCACTGGTATCAAGGGAAATTCCACATGCAAAAAACGATGAGTAGAAGCAAGGGAAAGAGGCATGCCATTCATGATTTTCTTCTTTTCTTACTTAACCCTGGGATGCTAATTGCATCGGGAATAGTACACAGCAGCCCTGTTTCCTGATAACCTGGGCACCACTGGTTCTTCCTTTACGGTGGAAGGAGGTAGGGAGAGAAGGAGGAAGAAATGTGGGATCTGTGAGGTTATTAGGAATTGTAATGAAAAGTCTATATATCTAATATAAAACCAATAAATACTTTACTTTTAAAGTTTAATTTTATTTCTAAGTCATGATTTTATTTTATCTTTGTTGGCCATGAGCCTCTTTATGAAAATATGTCCTATGCCTATAGAGATTTATTTAAACTATTCTAAAATTTCACTGGTTCTTTGTCTGCCAAATTATACAGAAAGAGGAAAATAATAGGAATAAAGCTATATTCTAGATATTAATCTTCAGTTGTAATTTTAGTTCATTCCTAACAAAAAGAAAGATAACTAAAAATTTTGTCATGAGAAGCATTTTTATAAAATGTGGCAAAATAATACCTAGATAAGAAAGGAGAGCTTCTATGACTATGGAATTTAATATACAATATAAATGAGCATACAAAGAATGCTTGATTAATGTTACAGAGAGTAGAGATATTGATTCTTTAATCCTTCATATATTCAAAATATTCAACTTTAAGTGGAAATTATATGGGCATGACGCTCTTACATGCTAAACTAGAACAAAGAAACAAATGGCCAAAGGAAAGATGGCAGGCCGACAATTACCATCAATTACACAGGCACTAATTCAGATTCCTCTCCACACACACAAACCTGTCTCCTTTATGAGTACCACTCCCAAGAAGGTTCCAAGGAGGCTTGGAGAATAGAAGAGAAATATGTTTATGCAAAGAGAAAGTAGGAATTGAGGACATTATTCTTCATTTTTTGTCTCCCCCTCTTAATAACCAGTGAAACTAAATAGGCATGGCTAAGACAAGCTTCTATCCTCACTAGCAAAGTGGGATATCTATTTTAAAACAGAGTACCAAATTGTTAAAGAGAAAACAGTGAAGCTATAAATATGTCATATGTTAAATGGCTAAGGAACACTCACATTCAGATTTGTTTTTTAATCATGAAGTTTTATCTCAGATGCATCATACATGAGATTGTCCAAACAGACTACCTTTTCTCAAGAAAATCTCACTCTCTAAAAAACAATTCAGTTTAGGTTCAACTGGAAACTTGTTCTGGACTGAATCTACCAAGAACATTGATCCACTATTTTATGGTTTGAATTTCTCTACCAAAACACATGCTTTATAACAACATAGTCTACTTATGACATTACAGGTTTAATTCTCCCCCCGCCACACATACATAAAATTAAAAAGCAAATTCAAAGTTTTTACCTGATCTTCACTAAATAACACACCCCGTTGTCTACTGATCCTTTTCATGAGATCCCCTCCATCACAATATTCCATCACAATAAACAGCCTGCCATTCTCTGTAAGAAAAGAAATTATTTGGTGCTGGAAGGATTTCAGATATTTATCATCATGTCATGTTCTGGCTGTGGAATCAAGATGGACTGGGTTCTAATCCCACTATGCCATTTCTATTTCTTAGCTCTGTGACTCTGGACAAGTCACTTTAATTTCTCTTTGCCACATTACCTCATCTGTAAAATGGAAATAATAGTATAGAAATTTCTTCTTTGGATTGCTGGAAAGATTAAAAGAATTAATCCATGTCAGATGCTTAAAGCAATGCCTGCACATAATAAGAGTTTAAGAAATGTTGGCTATTTTTATTAATACATTCATTTGAGAGATTAGAAATCTGCTGTAAAAATAGCAGCTGTGACTCTTTCATAACACCCTGGGAAGAATTAACAGCCTCTTCTTGAATTTGGGCATAATGCCATATTTATATGGCACTTATTCAACTACATTGTTGAATACAATAGAAACTCTTATAACTGACCTCTGCCTAAACCACTCACTAGATTACAGGACATTCTCCATTGCTATTGCCCCATCCAGGTTATCACTAGGCTGCAAGGCTCTCTAGTATGTCCAAGTACCTCTGCTCCTACCAGTTAAACTGAATCCTACCAAGATCATTGTGTTTTTACCCAATATGTTTATACCATTTATTCTTGTCATTGTAACATAAACTGATGAAATATGAATAGAAAATGAAAGATGTGATTATTTTCCAAGAGCTATGCTGAATATTTCGGAGGACTCAGTAAAAGTGAGTAGTTTAAAAAAAAAATAGCTATTGACCTAAATGTTGAATGGGATGAATGAAATACAACTGGAAAACTTCTAAAAGGATTATAGACAAATTATCCACAAATACTTGCTCCATATTAAAGAAAAGAAACTATCCTTTGACAAATGCTTGTAATTTCCTTAGATTTTCTTTTTTTTTTTTCCCAGCCATTTCCACTCAAAGGATAATTATGTCTTCTTATGTTAAAATATGTTTGTATAATTGCTATGGTCTAAATGTCTTTGTCTTCCCCAAATTTATATGTTGAAATTCTAACCCCCATGATGATGGTATTAGGAAGTGTAGGGCTTTTGGAAGGTGACTAGGTACTTGAACATACTAGAGAGGCCTGTAGTGACTAGACATAACCTGGAGCCTCATGAATAGAATGGTGTCCAAGAGAGACCCTCTCCCCTTCCACGATGTGAAGACAAAAAGAGACAAACCATCAATGAACCAGAAAGTGAATCCTCACCAGACACTGAATCTGCCTGCACCTTGATGTTGCACTTCCCAGCCTCCAGAGCTGGGAGAAATAAACTTCTGTTGTTTATAAGCCACCCGGTTTATGGCATTTGTTATAGCTGCTGGAATAGACTAAAAGAGATGATTTTCTGCTTTAACCAGCTTTTTTCATTAGCCAACCAACCACCAGCTGGGATCTTGTTAAAAAAGAAGGACTTCAACTAACTTGTTTGTCCACACTTCATTCTTTTGTACCCAAAACAGAAGTTAGCACATCAAAGGGCCTAAATGTCTGTTGAGTGGATTAAAAAAACAAAAAACAAAACACAAAACAGACACGATAAAATCGGGCTTATAAGCAATTGTTAATTCTTCTAACATTTTCCTCTGTAGTATCCACTAAATGCCAGAATCTCTTACCAAATAGCTATCTTTTGATAGCCTACTCTTTAAAACCTAAACCAACTTTCCCGTGGATATCAGGAACCTGGCATATACCCTTGGTTGGTTCTAATTTGCAAAACATGCATCTTCTTTCACATATTTCAATTTTTCCACGTCTCTTCTTTAAGACACAGATCCATTCATTTATTAACAAGCTTCTATTGAGGACATGCAAAAACAAGGAATGCTGTGTAGGAATAAAAAGCAAAGAAGCCATCCATCCTACTGTTAAGGAGGTAAAGTCTAGCTGGGGCTCCCTCAGCACTGGGTGAGGATTGCTGCGAAGAAGTCTGCAGGCTGGAGGGTGAGGAGAAAGTGCATGCAAGTCAGACTGGAGATCCAGGAAGGGTTCTAAGAAGATGCTTCCTGATATGCCCTAATATCTAGAGATCAGTTATTTTCAGGAATGTGTTAGTTTTAGGAGAACTGATGTTTTTTATCACTGAAGCTCAGTCATTAAAAGTCTGCCACAGCAATTAAGGGATAGCAATTTCAAAACCATGAAAGAATCAGAATAATGAGACAGAAGAGAAAGGATTTCATCTCATTTCCTTTTCATCAACCTCCAGCTTACTCAACCTTACACTGGCTTTTGGTGAAAGAAACTGACTGACTCAAGATTTGTCATGACAGAGCCATCTTAAAGAAACTACTGGCTTAGCCCGTAATCCCAGCACTTTGGGAGGCCAAGGTGGGTGGATCAGTTGAAGTCAGGAATTTGACACCAGCCTGGCCAACACAGTGAAGCCCCCTTCTCTACTAAAAATACAAAAATTAACCAGGCGAGATGGTGTGCACCTGTAATCCCAGCTATTTAGGAGGCTAAGGCATGAGAACTACTCGAACCTGGGTGGTGGAGGTGCAAGATTGCACCACTGCACTCCAGTGTGGGCGTGTCAAAAAAAAAAGAAAAAGAAAAAGAAAAAAACAACTTATGTCAATTAGCATTATCTGGCTGTAAAATAGGTATTTTATCCATTAGCCACTGTTAATTTTATATTTATTGGAAGTATCTGGAAAAATGATTTATGCTCTCAAATTTTCCATCTGCTTAAAAAGTAAGCACTGAAGGAGGGAATAAAAGGTATAACAAATAATTCTTCTTCTCAAGGAACTTCCAATCTCATTGAGGGAAACAAAGAATACATATTAACATAATAATACAGTATACTATAAATGTCATGTGAATGTATGATAAGGCCAGTAAGAGTTTAGAGGCACTCAGAGCAGAGGTGAGAGAGATCACTTTAGATTTATGAGGTGGGATGTGTTTACTCCTAAAGGATGTATAATATTTGATAATTAAAAAAAACAAAAAAGGATACCCCAGAAAGAGAAAGCAAGGTCCACTATAGGACGGTAGTTTCTGGACCTGTAAAGCCCATGTATCATTGACCTCTCAAAACAATTGAGGGTACTAAATAACCTTTTTTCTTTTTTTGAGACAGAGTCTCACTCTGTTGTCCAGGCTGGAGTCAGTGGTGTCATCTCTGCTCACTGTGACCTCCACCTCCCAGGTTGAAGTGATTCTCCTGCCTCAGCCTCCCAAGTAGCTGGGACTACAGGCATGCTCCACCACGCCTGGCTAATTTTTGTATTTTTGTAGTATGGGGTTTCACCATATTGGTCAGGCTGTTCTCAAACTCCTGACCTCATGATCCACCCACTTTGGCCTCCCAAAGTGCGGGGATCACAGGTGTGAGCCACCACACCTGGCTAACCTTTTCATTTGTCAGGTTCCAACATTTATTAAACAATTATTATAACTCATTCTAAAATGCACATTAAAAAAAATCAAAGGCCTGGCACAGTGGCTCTTGCCAATAATCCCAGCACTTTGGGAGGCCAAGGTTATGGCAGGTGGATTGCTTGAACTCAGGCGTTTGAGACGAGCCTGGGGAACATGGTGAAACCCTGGCTCTATAAAGAAAAAAAAACTACGGCCAGGCGCGGTGGCTCAAGCCTGTAATCCCAGCACTTTGGGAGGCCGAGGTGGGTGGATCACGAGGTCAAGAGATCGAGACCATCCTGGTCAACATGGTGAAACCCCGTCTCTACTAAAAATACAAAAAATTAGCTGGGCATGGTGGTGCGTGCCTGTAATCCCAGCTACTCAGGAGGCTGAGGCAGGAGAATTGCCTGAACCCAGGAGGCGGAGGTTGCGGAGAGCCGAGATCGCGCCATTGCACTCCAGCCTGGGTAACATGAGTGAAACTCCGTCTCAAAAAAAAAAAAAAAAAAAAGGAAGAAAAAAAACTACTAAAATTAGCCGGGTGTGGTGGTGCATGCCTATAGTCATAGTACTCAGGAAACTGAGGTGGGAGATCACTTAAGCCTAGAAGTTCAAGGCTGCAGTGAGCTGTAATCACACCACTGCACTCCAGCCTAGGCAACAGAGTGAGACCCTATCTCAAAACAAACAAACAAACAAACAAAATCAAGATTGTTTCTTACAAACATTGGCATTTTCCAATCAATTGCTATAGGCCCAGCAGGCTGGATGGGTCTGCATAATTTTGGAATTCACTGCCTGCATAATTTTGGGAATACCTTAACCAACTTTGTTTGCTTATATATATATATTTTTATGTGTGTGCAAGAGTAATATAAAATAAAACTCTGTGATTAAACAAATGTGAAAAAGTTCTTTCTGGCCAGGCTCAGTGCTTCCAGCACTTTGGGAGGCCACAGCTAGATCACTTGAGGGGGAGTTCAAGGCTGCAGTGAGCCATGATCCAATTACCTCAACTGTAAGTAAATGAAATCTGTAACAACCTAGATGAGCCTGGAAGAGGACCATGAGTCACAGGTAATAGTCCCAGCTGACACCTTGATTTCAACTAGGTGAGACTCTGGGCAGAGACTCCAGCTAAGCCAACGTCAGGTTTCTGACCTACAGAAATCAAGAGATAATAAATAGGTGTTGTTTTTAAGCCACTACATTTGTGTTCATTTGCTATGTAGTAATAGAAAACAAATACAATAGTGTGGGGATTTTCGCCTATTTTGTTTGCTGACATGTTTCCAAGACCTAGAACATGCCCGGCATATAACAGACACTTAATGAATGTTTATTGACGAAATTTAAATGGAATTAATTTAGTCTTAGGAAAATACCACTACATTCTCATTATTTTTCCTATGTGTCTTCAAACCAATAAAAACATCCTATTTTCTACAGACAAACATTAGTGCCATGATTGTTACGATCAGAGAGAGATAAGCCATTTGCAGGTAAACAAGCCGTTACCTATACTTTCTAAAAGACATTTTTTGAAAGCCTCTGAGGCTTTCAAATAAGCTCAGTGGTTCAAGTCCCAGCAACCTGCCAAGCAAACTCAAAGGCATCATAATAGCTCTAGATTTCCTAAACACAGAGGTGCTCTACTTAAAAAGAATCATAAGAAAATGTAAACTTGTAGTATCAACAAACATAGCAGAGGTTATTTATACTGTAAAAATGATCTGAGTTTTGCAAAAGCTTCCAGTAGCAAACTGTCCTCAAAAATCGATCTCACATGGTATAAGGAAATACTTCAGTCTTTAAAAGTGGTCCAGTCCATTCGCTCATTCGGTAGGCATGTATTGAGCAGCCAGTGCGTGCTAGATGCCAAGGATCAAGTGCTGAGTAAAACAGATGGAGTCCCCAAATTCATTAAGTTTACTATGTAAAGGGAGACAACTATGAAACAAATTCAAACATATAAATAGATATACATAAGTACAACTGCTGTGGAAGAGAAGCAAAGGGAGCTGTAATTTGAATTGTGGGTTCAGAAAAGGCTTGAAGATGAGTAGGAGTTAGCCAGAGAGTCACAGTAATAACCTAAAAAAAAAAAATAAAGAAGAAGGCCAGGTGCAGTGACTCACGTCTGTGATCCCAGCACTTTAGGATGCTGAGGTGAGTGGATCACCTGAGGTCAGGAGTTTGAGACCAGCCTGGCCAACATGGTGAAACTCCATCTCTACTAAAAATACAAAAATTAGCCAGGCGCAGTGGTAGGTACCTATAATCCCAGCTAATTGGGAGGCTGAGATAGGAGAATCACTTGAACCCAGGAGGCGGAGGTTGCAGTAAGCCAAGATCATACCATTGCACTCCAGCCTGGGAAACAAAGAGCGAAATTCTGTCTCAGAAATAAATAAATAAAAATAAAGAAGAGAAAGATCATCTTATAGCATTATCAACAATCAATGGATAGGAATGCAGGCACTTTATTCAGTGGCTCTCCTTGAAAGTTATTCCATGTAACCCAATTCCAGACCATGTGTACTGCTCTGCTCCCAGGAAGACCTCAGAAAAGTCCCTCCCAAGAGCTCTTTTAAATACCCAGAAGCCAAAGAAGGGTCATACACACAGAACTACTTTGAATGCAGTGGTTTTAATCAGTAAGGAACACAGTGCCCTGCACAGTGTACAAGCTTGAGACACAGTGGCTGTAGTTATTTATTTACTAACTTTTACCCCACTGATGATGCTTGAAGATACTGAGGTTAACACTTCTGCTCCATGAACTACTTACCACTCTTAAAACAGCCCCGTGCTGGGGGCTGGGCTGGGGAATGATCCCTCATAAAACTGTCAGCACATACAGCCCTGTCACATCTTAAGACATACCTGACATACTGTATATCTTTTTATTGTCTATCTCTTCCCAGTAGAATATAAACTTCATGAAAACAGGGATTTTCATCTGCTTTGTTCACTGCTATATTCCTGACACTTAGAACAATGTCTGGCATATAGTAAGCACACAGTAAGTATCAGTTCAGTGAAGGAATGCTGTCTGACCAATGCCCCTTCATATATTATTTATTTTTTACCTTGGACTAGAGTGATGGTGGAGGCGAATTGTATTCAGGTGTACAGAGGAAGAGAATTCCTTCCCTAAAGTTCTCCCCCTCTATGAGGCAGTGTACCAAGCTATGGTGTGTGGCTGTTTGCTGGCTCTCTGTAAGAGGATTACACAGCCCCATCTGTTGCCTAAGGATATGCAGGATTTCATGTAAGCAGAGTACCCCTTAACACACATACGCATGCCTGCATGCGCCCGCACGCGCACACACACACACACCCCAGCAGGGCTTTGAGAGCGATAGTGTGGTGGGCTCTGTGTCTTCCTCTCTTCTCTTGCTTATGAGAATAGCTAACTCCCTATCTGAGCTGCTCCTTCAGCCCAGACCCCAGACTCCAGACCCCTGCCCACCATAGCTAGCATGTAATGTAAATGAGAAATGGGTGTGTATTATTGTTAGTCAGTTACATTTGGATGTTGTTACTACAGCAAAGAAGCTAATAAACTGTCATTAACTTTTTGGGAGAGTGAGAATTAAGGATAGGCAGAAAAACAAGAAAACATAAGAAAGCTGTCTATAAAAACTTAAGAGGAAATAACAAGGATGTCTCAAACTGCAAATTGAGTAAATGGGGAAATGACACATTTACAAAAATTAATTTATACTTAGTCCTTAGGAACAAATCTTTTTACATATGTCCACATGCCTATGCTTTATAAATATACTTAAAGAATATTAGAAAAATCAAACCTTGAAATGAATTGAAGAAGGCTACAATGTTGGGATGTTTCATCTTTGCCAGAAGAATGACTTCTTTCTTTGAAGCTTCTTTTTCTTGTATGGGCATCTAAATTACATTAAGAGACAGAGTAGTCTATAGAGGTAACTTGGTTTCAAGAACATGCTTTCTGCTCGTTTCCATCTGAAATTCTCTAGAATGTCACTGGCTTTTTAATGTCACTTTGAAAATGATCTTTCAATGGCAGGAAACATTTCTAGAATTAGCAGAGTACCCTATATCTAATCAATGGTTCATCAACAATCATCATCAAGAAAATAAATACTTCCGGTGAAGTTTTGCTATATTAAAAGTTGGACTGGTGGTACTGTGTTCATTATCTAGCCATATGGAGGAAAGGTATTTTAATATCTATCTTTCAGGAGCAACAAAATTCTTTATAAAAATGCAACATTCCAGGAGTAATCACTGCTGAGAAGAAACAAATGTAATCTAAAAAAAGAAAATGTGTCATATGCCAGATTTTTATATATCATATGCCTGTTTTTATACAGAAATCGGACCAGTAAAATTTTGTATTAAGATGACTACATTTTTCAATTTCAAATAGAAATTGTCTTGTGTGGCTTCACTTTAGATGTATCTAGCTGTTCTTTCTTGTTCTACTTCTCATCTATAGACGATACTTTTCAAGGGGTGCGGTGCCAGTACCAGTGGTCACGCCTCATTTCTACTTTTTCTTTCTCACTCTTGATGCTTTGCTGACTTGTCATTTCTACCCTGACTTCCAGCCCCTGACTGCCCCTCCTTTCTGGTGTCCATGGGACCTCCACCCATTGGAAGTCTTCAACATTGGCCAAATTTCACATTCTCATTTAGACTTAAGAATTTTTTTTTTAAATTAATGTTCTCAATTCTAGCTTCACTGCATCCCAGCTGAAGGATCCTTCAGTAAGTTCCTTAACCTCTCTAAGCTTCAGTGTTTCCTGCCCCAATTTAAATTGTATAGTCAGTACATAGGCATTTCAAAACAAAACAGCTGAATTACTCCTACCAGCTGGATAGATTTAGCAACTTAAAAAATTCCTAACTACTATTTATTCAAAAGAATATTATAAACAAAATTAAAATGCAAACAAATGGTTAGGCTACAATATTTGTAACACATATGACAAAGATTTTATATTTATAATAATATATAAATTGATGGCAAATAATTTTAAAAAGGTAAATACCCCAATAGAAAAAGAGCAAAGTACAAGAACAGTCAACTCGAAAAAAACAAGAGAAATAAAAATGGCTGATAGAAAAAATATCCAACCTCATGCAGTAATCAAAGAAATAAAAACTAAAACAAAATATGGCCAGATGTGGTGGCTCATGCCTGTAATCCCAACACTTTGGGAAGCCAAATGAGGCATGCAGACCACTTGAGGCCAGGAGTTCAAGACCAGCCTAGCCAACATGGCAAAACCCCATCTCTACTAAAAATACAAAAAAGTAGCCAGGCATGGTGGCACACACCTGTGGTCCCAGCTACTCAGGAGGCTGAGGCAGGAGAATCAGAGTCTCTTGAACCTGGGAGGTGGAGGCTGCAGTAAGCCAAAATCATGCCACTGCACTCCAGCATCTCAAAAAAAAAGGGAATAAAAACTAAAACAAAATGTAATATAATATTTCATGTATGAAATTGGCAAAGATGAGAAGAATGTCAATAGCCACTATTGGCCAAAAAGTAGCAAAATGGACACTCACTTATTTCTGGTAAAACTACACAAATTGACAAAATCTTTCTGGGAAAGCAATTTTACAATACATTATACGAACCTTTAAAATGCTCATTTTTGCGGGGGGGGGGCGGTCTGTATCCTGTTGAAGAAGTGTTCCTTTTTCTAAGACAAGGTCTTGCTCTATCACCCAGGGTGGAGGGCTCAGGCACGATCTTAGCTCACTGTTACCTCCGCTCTTTGAGCTCAAGTGATCCTCCCACTTCACCCTCCTGAGTAGGTGGGACCACAGGCAAGCACCACCATACCCCGCTAATTTTTTGTATTTTTAGTAGAGAGGGGTCTCACCATGTTGCCCAGCCTGGTTTCGAACTCCTAGCCTCAAGTGATCCAGCTGCCTCAACCTCCCCAAGTGCTGGGATTACAGGCATGAGTGAAATGTTTCTATTTTTGACTTACTAATTCTTCTAGAAACTTATTCAAAGAAGATAATAAAAAGTGTACAGAAGCGTTCTCATACAAAAGCCTTTGTTGCAGTGTTTTATTGCTAGTTTTTAAGTTACCCTAATAATGCGTACTTGTTTTAAGTCAAATAGAAGTGAATAAGGTAAAAGTGAAACTTCCTTCCCTCTTTCTCATCTAGCCCATAGATGAAAGTCCATAGGTGGTAACCTCACTCTGAACGGCAAAAATGCAATTACTTTTGCGTCAACCTAATACTATATTCCCTAGGGACAACTGTTGTTAATAGTTGGAGCTTTTTATTTCATGCATATGTAGATAAGTATATATATATAGTGTTGTTTAATAAAAATGAATCATACTTTACATATTAAATATTACTGAATCATAGCCAAGAAAAACAACCAACAATATAATTATCTGAAAATGGAAAAAGAGTTAAATAAATTGCAAGGATTGTTTTGCTGGCTTTTTTTTTTTCTTAAGACAGAGTTCTGTTATGTTGTCTAAGCTGGATTTGAACTCCTGGGGTCAAGGGATCCTTCCCACTCTTCCTCTGGAATAGCTAGGACTACGGGCACTTGCATGCCCAGCTAAATTATGGTAGTTTTAACCTGCTACCATACTATGCAGTCATTAAAAATCAAGGGAGGTAATGTGTTAGTGTGGAAAGAGCAGAGAAAGACTTAGATGGATCTGCTGATGACTGTGCATCCTGGAGCTAACTGCTTAACCTCTTTAGCCTCAGCCCTTTCACCTGTACAGTGAGAGTAATGAGAGCTACATTTTAGGGTGGTTGTGAGGATTACATTGAGTTGATATATATGAAACACCCAGGATGGTGTGACATATAATGGACACCCTGGAAGGTGGTCCCTTTATCATTAGTGTGAACATTTAATATCATTATATGACAACATTTTGTTACATAAAAATATTGAATGACATGAGGAAATATTCACGATATATTCCTAATGTAAAATACTATTGAAAAAAAGTATATCTGGGCAGGGTGTGGTGGCTCACATCTATAATCCCAGTGCTTTGGGAGGCCAAGGCAGGAGGATCACAGGTCAGGAGTTTAAGACCAGCCTAGTCAACATATTGAAACCCTGTCTCTAGTAAAATACAAAAATTAGCCAGTCATGGTGGTGCACACCTGTAGTCCTACTCTGGAGGCTGAGGCAGGAGAATCATTTGAACCTGAGAGGCAGAGGTTGCAGTGGGCTGAGATCACATCAGTGCACTCTGGCCTGTGTGACACAACAAACTCCATCTCAAAAAAAAAAAGAGTATATCCACCATGACATCAATCACTCTAATAACTTATAAAGTATACTATACATAATAAATAGTCTACAGAGAAATTCAGGAAAATGTTCATAGTGATTAAGAAAGAGGTTATACACTATTTTTATTTTTCTCTGGTCTTTGGTTGTTTTCAAAATTTCTACAATGAACATTTTTATTTTCATAATCAAGGAAAGATAAAACACTTTGATATGAGCCCAGAAGGAAAAGAACATGCTTGATAATGTAGGATGATGAGAGAAAACATAATCTTTTTGGTACATGTAAGAAAATAAGCAATTTAGTTATTGGGTCTAGTGTAGAAAGTAGGGAGGCATTAGAGAAAAGAAATGTACATTTATTTAGATAAGAAGTAATGAAAAACTTCATGAGAGTATATAGGAAGAAAGAAGTAATAAATATTACTGTTGTGACACGTTATTGGCAAATTTGATAACAAAGATATGGAAAAACAAGAATAATGAGGGCTAACATAAGATTCTACTTATTTATGGCATGGTGACAAGAGTAGTTCATGAGGAAAGCTATTTAAAAATTGGTGCTCTATTAGAAAAATATAGTCAATTTTTGATTATACTAAAGAATAGGAGAGATGCTATGAAATGAAGTAATGTGTATTTTTATGGAGAGTCACCTCTCAAATAGTTTCTCTTTACAAAGAATTAAAATGGGTTTATAATTCCTAAGTATATACCAGCTTCACAATAGAGTAAGAGGGCCAGGAAGCACCTGTCCAGTGAATCATCTATCCAATAAGAATTTACTGAATATCGACTGCACCAAGCATTAGTATTAGGTGCTGTGTGGAATACCAGCACGAATCGCACATGGACTCTGCCCTCACAGAACATGTTCCAGCTAAATAACAAGGAGAAGGCATAAAATAAACAGACAAAGCATGTCTAGAAAGAAAGCAGTCAGGACTCTAACAGAGGTTCCAATAAAAATTATGCAGGTTTACAGAGAAGGAGAAATTCTTTAGAGTGGGGGGATTCTCGAGATATGGTGAAGCTCAGCCTTGAACAAGTGGAATCTTGACGCTGGGAGATCCGCAGGAAGGGACCTTGGGAGAAGCAGCCCTGTAAGCAAATGCAGAGGCTGGAGTGTGGAAAAAAAAAGTAGGGTATGTAATGGGAGCTGTAATTTTGGAGTAAATCAGAGAGGATCTCAAACTTCTCTGAAGAATGAAACAATATAAAAGCACAAGGCAGGCTAGGCACAGTGGCTCATAACTGTAATCCCAGCACTTTGGGAGGCCAAAGCAGGAGGATCACTTGAGGCCAGCCTGGGCAACATAGCAAGATCCTGTCTCTAAAAAAAATTAAGGCTGGGCGCGGTGGCTCACGCCTGTAATCCCAGCACTTTGGGAGGCTGAGGCGGGTGGATCACGAGGTCAAGAGATCGAGACCATCCTGGTCAACACGGTGAAACCCCGTCTCTACTAAAACTACAAAAAATTAGCTGGGCATGGTGGCGCGTGCCTGTAATCCCAGCTACTCAGGAGGCTGAGGCAGGAGAATTGCCTGAACCCAGGAGGCGGAGGTTGCGGTGAGCCGAGATCGCACCATTGCACTCCAGCCTGGGTAACAAGAGCGAAACTCCGTCTCAAAAAAAAAAAAAAAAAAAAATTAAAAATTAGCTGGGTATGGTGGCGCATGCCTGGAGTCCTATCTACTCAGGAGGCTGAGGCAGGAGGATGGCTTGTTCAAGGTTACAGTGAGCTATGATGATGCCACTGCACTGCTGCCTGGGCCACAGAATGAAACTGTCTCAAAAAAATGTACAAGGTAAACGCCACTTTCTTTCTCAATAATAACAATCTGGTGTGTCTTTTTTCTTTGTACCTATATAAACATATTTGTAGGTATACATATACATGGAAAATATATATATTTTTACAAAGATTCTATCACCTTATTCTTACTATTTTCTCAAACACTGCAGACATTGAAATTTTCCCATGTCAGCTTCACCTACAACATGACTGCTAACAGCCACTTAGTTTTTTATAAATTGCTTAACAAATTACCTACTGTTGGACATTTGTTTTCTAACTGTTAATGGGGTTTTCCTTTGAATAAGCTCCTAATTTCTTAGTTTTCTAATGAGTTTCAAATTTTTGTATGATGACTTCATATACGGATTTTATCTTTTTATTGATTTACTAAAAGGCTAACACCATTAAGTCAATACTTGGGCACCTTTTCAGTTTTCTTTTAATTTATTTATAGTGTTTGTTTTGACATACAAACATTTTCTAATTTATGTAGTCAAACCTAGGCAACTCTTCCTCTACAGCCTCTGTCCCAGTGAAGGTTTAGGGGCATGGCTGGGGCATTGCCAAAATTGGGCTGGAGCCATGAGAAAGTGACTGAAGGATCCAAGTGACCCAAGGCATCGACAAAAGGACTGCAGCAACTTCAGGGTAGAGAAAGAGTCAACAGCATTCAGCAAATGACTGAATGTGGAGAGGGAATAAGCTCACATATGACCCCAAGGTTTTGAGCCTGGCTACCATAAACACATTGTTGACATTACCACAGCGCAGCACATAGGAGGTGAAGTGGGTCTGCTTACAACAATGAAGAATTGCTAGTAATACTTGTTTCGGGGTACAATTGTGATACCTAGCCTCCAAGGTGGTCTCAGTGATTGTCATCCTAAATTCTTGATGCACAAGATCTCCGAGGTAGCAAATGTTTATTCTTTAAGCCACTAAGTTTGGAGTAATATGCTACACATCAATAGAATACTAACACAGACATTACCTAAAATTATCTAGCTGGCAGAAGAAATGCAGAACTAGGGCACTGAAAGATGTCAGGGGTAGAGACAGAGACTTAGCAGTGATCTGCTTAGTGGTAAACACTGAAGTGGGGCAGTTTAGGTGACAATGTACAGAAAGAGAAGGTCAGGAAAGGACACATCGTTGGAGACACACAAAGGTTGAATAGAGAGATAAGCCTAAGGAGGAGCAGTCAGATAAACAAAAGAGAGTGAGCAGAATAATGTCAGGTAAGGAAGCTATGGCGAGCCACTAGAATAAGAGGACATTATTATGAACATGCCATGGATTCACAAAAAGATGGACTGGGCACAGTGGCTCACGTCTGTAATCCTAGCGCTTTGGGAGGCCAAGGCAGGCAGATCACAAGGTTAAGAAATCAAGACCATCTGGCCAACATGATGAAACCACATCTCTACTAAAAATACAAAAATTAGCCGACATGGTGGAGTGCACCTATAGTTCCAGCTACTCAGGAGGCTGAGGCAGAAGAATCGCTTGGACTGGGGAGGCAGAGGTTGCAGTGAGCCACTGAGATTGTGCCACTGAACTCAAGCCTGCCACAGAGCGACACTCCATCTCAAAAGAAAAAAAAATTAGACCTATTTTGGGAAATAAATTATTATCCCTGGAAGTCAGTCATCTACCTATGAACTTTAAGTTTGGGTAGGATTTCTTACAATTTTTTTTGTGGTAAAATAAAATTTATATCATTTTAACCATTTTTAAGTGCACAATTCAATAGCATTAAGTATATTCACATGGTGTAACTTGGGTACATTTTGCACACACTCTGTATGGAACTTTTTATGTTACTCTCATTTATAAATTCTCTAGAATCTGACCAACAAGACTTGCCTTAAAATTAATTCTAAAAACAATTTATTTGTTATGTAACAATATATTTTGAAATGAACATATCACTAAAGAGGGTGACATAAACACTAAGGTGGAGTTAGCAAAAATGATTAATTTTTAATTAGCTATATTTATTTTCCAAAATCATTAGACAAAAAGTTACATGTGATTTTCCTCTATTCATTCAGTGCACTCAACAAATTTCTTTAGTACCTATTATGTGTCAGGAACTGTTCTGCATACTGAGGAAGACAAATAATAAACAAGTGAATAGGTAAAACAGCAAAGTAACTGCAGAGCATTATACATGCTAGTAAGAAAATAAACCAGGCCAGCAGCAGTGGCTCATGCCTTTAATCCCAGCACTTTGGGAGGGCAAGGCAGGCAGATCACTTGAGCTCAGGAGTTCAAGACCAGCCTGAGCAACATGGTGAAACCCCCATCTCTACTAAAAATACAAAAAATTAGCCAGGCATGGTGGCATGCACCTGTAGTCCCAGCAACTCAGGAAGCTAAGGTGGGAGAATTGTTTGAATCCCAGAGCTGGAGGTTGCAGTGAGCAGAGATCATGCTACTGTACTCCAGCCTGGGTGACAGACAGAGATTCTATCTTAAAAAAAAAAGAAAAGAAAAAGAAAAAAAACCAGGGTAGTGTGATAAGGTGATGAGGTGTGACTGTGGTTGAGGGGGCTACCCTAGCTAGGATGTTTGCAGAAAATACTTTGTAGAGGACCTGAATAAGGGGAGAGGAAGTGCACCAGAGAAGTTGGGGCAACAAAGGAGGGTGGCATCTCACAAGGCCTTGCAGGGCACCCTAAGGAGGGTCATAGGAGCCACAGAGATGTGATCTTATTTTCTATTTTCACTAAAAAAATTTTTTTGGGGGTAGGGTCGGGGTCTTGCTATGTTGCCCAGGCTATCTGAAACTCTTGGCTTCACACAATCCTCCCACCTTGGCCATCCAAAGTGCTGGGATTACAGGGCAGGCCACTGCATCCAGCCTCTTTTTAAAAATAAGATCATCGGTTGCTGTTTGGACAAGGGACTTAGGAGGCTGAATTAACAAAAATCAATTATGGCTTAAAATTTGTAATTATAAAAAGATACAAACTCCCTGTTTATATTGGATTAAAAGCCAGCTGAATATCCCACTGAAAATTGACAGAAATTTGAACTTCTTAACTTTACCTTTTCAAAATTGATCTCTTTTATGACACAATGCTTGCTATCCAATTTCCCTTTAGCTAAGTATGCTCTCCCGAAGGCACCTTCCCCGATGGCCTTAATCACATCGTACTTATCCATGGTCTCGGATGGGCTGAGGTTCCTGGAATTACAGTAATGTGAATGTATCACACATGTCTCATAAAGACTAATAAAGTCAGAAAATTGATGACTAAAGTGTTAAAGAACTCACTTTGCTAAAACTTTCCTACCAGCCTTGCCAAGACAGACAAATAACTTACCTTGTGGCCACAGGTAACAACTGAAATGAGACAGTTTCTCGGTCAGACATGGGTCATAGCTCAGCTTTGATACACTTGTGCCCTGTGTTCTTGGGTAAGTCACTTAATCTGGAAAAACCTTACTTTCCTAATTTCTAAAATGGAATAACAATACCTGTTTTGCAAGTTTGCTCTGAGAATGAAAGATACTATATACCCGGTATGCCCTTAAACCTGTGTACTTTTACAGTCCAGCGTTTCTTAGTGGGAACGTACTGCCCCCTAGGGGCAATTTTGGAAATATTATGAGGGTGGGGATGCTGTTTCCTCCAGAAGCAGAGGCATGCTAGGATTCTGCCATTCGAGAGACGGTCCCGCACAATAAAGGATTACCCTGCGGCCCTACCACCTTGGAGAGTCTTCCTATAATTCATGTGAGTGGAAAAATCTGTTTGTAATAATCTGTGGCTAGAACCAAACTCCATTTTACATGGAAATGCTAAGTATTTTTGCACAGTTTTAATGAGCACTGATTTTTTTCCCTAGGAATGCAACTACATGTAAATCGAGGCTTGATTGCACTTTGCTTTAGAGGTTTACCAAGAACTGTTCACCATCTTGGAAAATCACGCCCTCCACCGGCCACGCTGCTCCTGGTCCCGGAGACCTAACAATCTGTCTTTGCTGCCCTCAGGTTCCGGCGACTGTCCAGGCGCGACTACTGGCTACTTCTCTACTTCTTCAAGGGCAGTAGTGCCAAGCATTTTCAGATTGAAATATGTACTTTCTTATTGCTTTCCTTCTATTTCCCCTTTATGCTACAGTTAAGGCATAATACAGTTTTATTGTCGCTGTTGTTTTTAATGGGGTGGGCAGGGGGGTTGTTTTCGAATAATGTCAGGGTAGTAAGTGGGTACCACTGGGTTGCAGGGGACTGGAAATCAGCTCCACAGCCAGGGGAGGCTGCAGACACCCGAGGACCGGGTTCTGAGAGAGACGGATGCGGACTTGGGGTCGGAGGTAACCAGCCGGGAACTGAGGGCACGAGACCTTCCAGCCCAAGTGGCACCAGAGGGTGAAAGCCCCCAAGTCTAGGAAAATTCCATCTCCCCTAGGGCCGCCCCCGGAGGCGGAAGCTGGAAGGTGACCAGGACCGAGCTCAGCGGGTGGAGCGTTGCCATGGAGCCCGACGCGCCCGCGACGCTCCACCCCCGCAGCCCGGGAAGCTAGGCCTCCTCTGGGACGCCCCTACCGCCCAGGACGGACACTCCTCCCCTTTCCTCATGGCCCTGAGGCGGCTTCGGGCAAGAACTGAGGCCAGCCCCTGCAGCATACCTGCTCCGCCGGAGGCTCCGCGGGGCCAGCAAGCGTGTGGAAAGGTTCCGGGTTGCAGGAGCCGCTGCACCTCCCCACAGCCGGGGCGGAGCAGCGCGAGGAAACGCGGCGGGGGCGGGGCAGGGCTGGGATGGCCAGGGGACCCTTCCGCACTGTCCACCGCGAGGTGGGTCAGGCGCCAGGGAGTTTGGAGAACCGACAGAGTCACCCCCAGTCCTGTTGCCTTGGGTCGGGATTCCTTTGCTTGCACTTGACAACAGCGCTCCCGCTTCGCAGACGTTCTCTCTTTTCTTTCCAACCCCGCAAGGCAGTAGTCTCCCAGCTTTACAGATGAGCTAGACTGAGACAGAAAGGGTTTCTTGTACAGGTCTCACATATTGCCGAGAGGTGGACGTGAGACAGGAACTGCTTCCTACTCTCTGGGCCACAGCGGCCGCTGCCAAGGGACTCAACGAAACTGGCGCTGCCCAAGCGTCTGCACCCACGCCCCATCCCCACCCCACCCTGCCCCACTCTGGATTTGCACGTCAAGCAGCTGTCTAAAATGTTTAAGTAGTTGAAAAAAATGTAATTTCCAGCAATTGTAAATAGTGATGCAAGTAAAATATATCCAGTTGAATGTGAATAGTACGGTGATATGGTACCCGTCATCGTCCACCACACACACACAAACCCACACACA